ACGTAGAGCGGGAGGTTGCAGTAGTCGCCTGCGAGGGGAAGCGGCAGCGGGTGAGGCTCTGGTGGGGGCCCTGCCCACCCCCGAGGCGACGGGAGCCACGGGCCGTGGCACCGCGGGCGTCGCACGCGAGAACGCCGTGTCCTCACGTGTGACAGGGGGTGCAGCGTAACGAACCAGCGCTGAGCGCCGCCACCTTTACACCCAACATCACCCGTCACCTTTCCAGATAGGACACGGTACAGCCCGTACAGCGACTGTACCGCCCGAGCGCGGGCACTGGGGTGTGACAGGGGACGGCAGGACCGGCGGGGGCGCAGAGCACCCCCCGCTCCGGAATGGGGTTTGTGTGAAGATTCCTCCCGCCTTCCCCACAGCCGTTTATCGCAGTCCAGCTCGGTCCTACACACTACGTTCTGTCAAACGTTCTACCGCGCTAACGTAAATAGCATCTGCGCTATAAACAAAAATCCTATCAAACAAAACTCTGTGCTGTGTTTCAGAGCATTATATGGAGCTGTAGTACCCTAATTTAAGGATTTGTGTGCATATGTAAGAGGGTGTTACCGCATCGTCTGACGTAGGCGCTACAGAACACACGTAACGCTTGTAACTGTCTGCGGTTCGTATGATGTTCTGCAAACTACGTGTTTATAATACTAACATGTATTGTATTCTGTCTTACACCCTATGCTACTCAAAATATAAAAGTCTTTGTCTTATTTGCAGAAAAATATTACACTATGCTGTGTGTTACAGAATATACTCAGTATAAAAATGAACCGTCAGTTACCACAGATGTACTTTTAAAGAAGATTTTCTACCTATTAAATCCACACCCGATGAACGTATCACCTGAAATAAGCGGGTTCCTTCGCTGTGTTTTCAGTTTTTCCCGGCGTAGCGTTACCCAGGCCCACACCACACCCTGTGCTCTATCTGACGGTGTGTGCGGTGACGAGCCGCCCCCGCCGGGGGCTGGAAAGGGCTCGAGGGGTTGGGGGGACTGTAACAACCTCTCTGAGGCCGAAGGCCGGGTCGTGAAGGGTTGTACCAAGGGGTGAAGGGCGAGTCCCCAGTGTGGGATGGTCTTTCACCCCCAGCCCTTCGAGCCGCGCGCTCAGCCCCAGCGCCGAGGCCCGGCTCTCCCAGTCGTGCTGGTCAGTGCTGGCGCTGGACCCGCTGCGGCGGGACAACAGCCGCAGGGTCACGCCCGACTGTACGGCCTTTGGGATCTGAAACAGGCCCCAGAGTGGTGGGACGGCTGTGCTGGTGCCGGGAGGGCTGTGGTGGTGTGTCACTGCTGCTGGGAAATGTGTCCAGGGGTGCTGTTGTGGGGTGTGACTGAAGAGAACGGGGCAGAAGGAGTAAGAAAGAAATTACTAGGACTGGGAATAAATAGTGTGAAATCAATAGAAATGGGAAGAAAGAAAAATAAATAGAATGGGGAAGGTTGGACACGGCTTTGGGCAGGGGGGTGGAACCGGACAAGCTTTAAGGTCCCTTCCAGCCCAAACCATTCCAGGATTCTATGAAACAGCAAAAAACAGCACAGGAGGGGGAAGGAGGAGTAAGAAATTAATGGAAAAGGGGAAAGATAATAGGAGAGGGGAAGAACCAATACTAAGAAATAATTGGAAGAAATAATGGGAAGAGATAATAAGAAATGGGAAGAAACAAATACAAATTGGTGGAAATGGAAACAAAAGAAAAGAAGGTGGAAGAAAAGGAAAGAAATTAAATGAAAGGATTGGAGAAATGAGAGGAGAGGAGCAAAGTGAAGGGAAGAGAGGAGAAGCAAAGAGAAGCAGAGAAGAAAAAATGGAAAGGGAGGAGAAGTGACACAATGTGAGGAGTGAAGTGAAGGGAAGCAGAGAAACGTGAGGAGGAGAAAAGTGAAGGGAGCTGAAGGAAAAAACCCAACAATGTGGTGAGAGAAGTTTGGAACGGTTAGTGATGTTTTTGAGTAGGTTCGTGGGGACCTTTCCCAGGTCGCGCTGGGGTTAGACCAGCTCCCTGTGGAACCCCCCGACAGAAGGAGCGACTCGGAGCCCCGCAGAGCCCGCGGTGACACACCAGCACAGCAGATGATGCCGAGATCCGCGCGGTGGCCCGTGGGAGAGAGAGATGCTTTTCCCACCTCCCCTCCTACCCTTCACAGGAACCGTCGCGTTCAGTGCCTTTATTTCTGTATTTTTCTCCGCGTTACACAACCCACTACCCGGGGAGCGTACAAGCGCAGCCAGAGCCCACGTGTACTTACTCTTGCTGGCGCGGTGCGGGATGGGCACGGCCACGCTCTTGCCGCGCTCGCTGTCCTGGGGCTTGGGCGGGGAGGCGGTGAAGCGGCAGATGCCGGGCTCCGAGGGGGTGCTCATGGAGGTCATGCTGTCGGCGTTGTCGGTGGTGCCGGTGGTCATCTGGTCCGAAGAGCTGTCCGAGATGAAGCACTCGGTGATCTCGAACTTGGCGTGTTGCAGCTGCTCCTCCAGCTTCGCGTGCTCGTAGGCGCGTGCCAGCTCCTCGTAGGTCGACGAGGCGCTCTCCGTGGACACCATGCTGTTCCGCCCCTTGTCTGGGGAGGAGAGGATGCGTCACCCACCCGGAGCCCTCCCCGGCCCGCCAGCGCCGTTTCCCACCTCGCCGCCGCGGGAGCGTCCCGC